GGGTTTTGTTCAAAATTTTCTGGGTGAATTTACTTGGAGGTAGAGCATTGTGCTGGTTGTTATAGAGGATGGGTCTGAGACTATCCTGAAGAGCTGGTTTAGTTATGGCAAATTTCTTCAATGTTTGTATGTCATTAAAGTATTTGATTTCTCCATCACAGATGAAACTCAGTTTAGCTGGATACAGGATCCTGGGCTGGAAGTTGTTTTGTTTTAGGAGACTGAAGGTCAATGACCATCTTCTTTGGCTTGAAACATAATGGCTGAGAGATCTGCTGTCATTCTGATACTTCTCCCTTTGTAGATGATGCTTTTCTTTGCATCTGGCTGCTTGTAGAATTTTCTCCTTTGTCTTAACTTTGGCAAAGTTAATCACAATGTGTCTAGGAGATACTTTATTTGGATTGAGTCTTGCTAGGGTTCTTAAACTGTCTGCTATCTGAAGTTCTGTATCTCTTGCAATGCTTGGGAAATTCTCCTCCAAAATTTCTTGGAGTAGAGCATCTGTACCTTTAGGACCATCTTCTTCTCCTTCAGGAATTCCTATAAGATGAATGTTTGATTTTTTGGAGTGATCTCACAACTCTCTCAGGGAGTGATCAGTTTTTGCTCTCCATTTGTCTGCCTCTTTGAGTATTTGAGAACGTTCAAAAGCTTTGTCTTCAGTTTCAGAGATCCTTCTGCCTAGTCAACTCTATTACTGAGGAATCCCATTGTATTTTGGAGTTCCTCAACTAACTTTCGTTTTCTTGAGCTCTGCTATCTCTTTTCTCATTATGTCCATATCTTTGATGACTTGGGCTTTAAATTCATTAATTTCTTGAGACAACTTTAGAACTCTTTGGAATTCAATTTCTTTCTTTTCTTCCATTCTATTTTTCTTATTTGTGATCCATATTCTGAATTCAACTTCTGACATTGCTTCCATTTGTCTATGCATGGCATCTTCAGTTGTATCTCCTTTGTCATTTCTTGGGGGATGGGGGGTGGATCTACTCTGGTTATTCATGTTGCCAGAGTTCTTCTGTTGGGTCCACACCATGTTTATTTTCCACCATTTGGTTATTAGAACTAGTAGGGTGAGATTGAATTAGGGTTCCCAGGTAGTAGAGATAGTCCCTTACCAAAGCACTAGGCTTTGTAATTGTGGCTTATTTCCTATAACCTTACAAAGTCCCTTTCAGAGTTTTGGCTGGAGACTCTGAGGACCTACTTGGTGAGATAGTGCAAGCTAGCTCTGTCTTGATATCAGCCAACCTCTACCCCATCCTAAGAAGCCACAGTATTGGGTTTAAATCTCAACTGTGAAGAGATACAAACAGCTGTGGTGCCCAGCCCTCACCCTTTAGTTCTTTTCTGGTATAGAACTTTGAAGGTCAACCTCAGAACGTCCCAGAGTGGACAGCCCCAGACATAAGTTCCAATTAAATTGTCTCAGGCAGTGCAAACCCTGCTCAAGAGAGAGGGGTTCAGGGGTCTCCAATAGCACAATTGGAGCCAGGTATCCACACTCCCGCCCACCAGACTCAGTCCACACTGTTGTCCACTTCTCTGCTCACAGGCCCAGTTGGAGCCAGGGGCCATGCCTCTACTCACCAGTCTCAGTCCTCACCCAGCTAGCCTCTGCTTGCCAGACCAGTTGGAGTCAGGGGACCATGACCCTGCCTGTCAGTCTCAGTCCACTGCCTGGCAAGCCTCTGTTTACAGGCTCTGTTAGAGTCAGGGCACCACACCCCACCTGCAGGTCTCAGTCCTCACCCAGTAAGCCTCTGCTCACCAGCCCTGCCAGAGACAGAGGACCAGTTCCTAGCCCTCAGGTCTTGGTTCACACCCAGCAAGTCACTGCTTGAGGGCTCTTGGAATCAGGGGACCACACTGGTCGGGCACGTATGAGAGGGAGAAGGAAAGGGAAAGGGTGAACACAATCACACACACTCTTGCTCTCAGGTCTCAGTCCACACCTAGCAAGCCTCTGTCCACAGGCCCAGTAGGGGCTGGGGACCAGCCCTGTCTGCCAAACTCAGTCCACACGGGGCAGCCACTCTCCCACTGTGGGTGCCATCAGAGCTGGGGGTTCTGACCCCGTCCCACCAGACACAGCCCAAACCAAGGATCAACACCACCATTGGCTGGGCATAGTCATAACCAGGGGATTGCTCCTCCTCCCACTGAGTGTCCCTTTCTTCCCACACCCTCTTTCTTCCCCGATAGTCACAGATACTGTCCTCATGGTTTGCAGTCCACACTATGCCCAAATCTCTCAGGACAAGACCAAACACTTTATGCTCTTCAGGGGGCAGAACTTCAAACTGCCATGAGAGGGAGAAGGGTGGACTAGGAGTTTGGACTTGTGGTGGAAAATATCTGTTCAATTTTATGCCTGGCAGGGTGGTGTCTAGGTTCATAAGTGGGACCTCCTTGGAGAAAGAGACCTGGAGTTTAGTGGCTCTCTCCAGCAAGGTAAAATGAGAGGTCTTTTGTTCCCTGCTCGTTTGCAGATAGCCTGCAGCAGGCCTCCTGCTTGGGGAGGGGTCTCCTGTCCTCTAGCTGATAGGCTTCGTACCTAAAATTTGTTTTCTTGAATGCTCTTCCTTGGAGTTACAGCTTGCTGAACTTCTTTCTTGGCTCAGCTCCCCATTTTTGGCTTCATAGAGTCCAATTCCGTCCAGTTTTTCTTCCTCTGCTCAGGAGCCTCTGCCAAGGGTTGCTATCAGTCAGCCATCTTCCCAGAATTCCTCCTTTTTTTGAATTTAATTGACTTTTTCTCTCATGTGGTTAATTTCTAAGTTTAAAATCAGTATTGAGTACATGTGATGTTTGTTTGTCCATTCTTGTGATGATTTACTTAGGAGAGTGTTCTCTGAATCTATCCGAGGTGTAACAAAAGACACAAAATCTCTGTCTTCCTTCTTAAAGAAGGGCCTGAAGTCTTCTCCCTTCAGGTCTGCAACTTCTCATCCCTGTCTAGAGGTCCTGGCCACCTCAGACTGGCTAGATCAAAAACTGAGCTCATGAGCAACAACCTGTTAACCTGATCCTCTTTCATTGTTCCAGCTGAACAAATGAAACCATAATCCACTTGGTAAATCTTTCTGTAGACCAGAGGTTATTCCACTTTATCCTTTCCCTTTCCTCTGTCCTCTGCTTATATTTCATCTATTAGTCTTACCTACACCTGAAATTTGTCTTGAATCCACTCACTTCTCAATATCACTGCCACCATATTGGTCTCAAAGACATCATTGTCTACCACTTGGATTATTGCAACAGTCTCTGAACTTTCCTCCTCACCCCCACCATTCACCCCTCCGCATGTTGGTTCTCCATGTGCAGCTAGATGTGCTCTCATGAAAACTTAACCTGATCTTGTCACTCTCCTGTTTAAAACTCTCCCACCATCCTTAGAATAAAGCACAAAATCCGTAGGACTCCTGGGCCCACATCATCTAACCCTCCCCAACACCAATGCCCTAACTTACTGCATTTTCTTACAGGTTCTAGAAGGCACAAAGGCCTTCCCACCTCCAGACCTTTGCCCATGCTGTGCTCTTCACCTACAGAGTTGCTTTCCCACCTCTGTCTCACTAGGTCTTATTCAGTCTTCAGGTTACTCATCAGCATGACCTTCTCTGACACTTCCTATACCTGCTAATTAGATTATGTCACCCATCATAGACCCTTGTCATACCCTTTACTTTCCTTCATGGTATTTGTCACCTTTGTAATAGATCTGATATTTCCCCCTACTAGACTTTAGGTGTCAACAAGCAGGATCTGTTCAATTTGTGTCCTACTCCATCCTCAGGGCCTGATAGCAGGAAGTCAGGTTTATTGGAGGAGTTCACGTGTTGAACAAATGAGTGAAATCTATCTTCCTAGCCTTGGATTAGAATTTCCGTAGTATTTAGTTTCATATGTCACAAAGAAAGCTAAAACAGAAATGGAACCTTGGAGGGACACAGCAAGCTGGGACTTGCAGCCAGAGCCCACCCCGCACTCCTGAGGATGTGGTTCTGATTCCTCCTTCCCTTTGTCCCTGGAAGGCACTAGAATGTTAGTGCTTGCCTTGCTCCTACCTTCCTTTCTCCAGGACTCAAGACGCCTACAGTTTAGATCAGTTTCTTTTTCCTTGATGAAGTCCTCCTCTAGACAACTAAGTGACATTAACTTGGCTTTAGGTTTGGTATTACAGTGTGTAGAGCTGGATGACTATTGCTGGAATAAATGCACATTTTTTTTAAGACCAGTCAAGTGCAGGGAGGAAAAGGGTAGAACAAGGAGTTTAATCTGTAACTGACTGTGAACAATCAAGTGAGATAACTCACTACCTTTAGACCAACCTAAATGCACAATTTGTGTAAAATGCTGTGTGTCTATATCTGAACCGTGGCCAGTGCTCATTTTCCCTTCTGAAAGAGCTCTCACCTGCAAGGTAGGCAGCAGTTCGCAGGTTGGGAATGGCCAGAGGGTCATCCCTCAAGTGCTCAGTCCCAGGGCCCACCTCTGAGTACACCTGGCAGTCTTATTTCTTTGACAGGTATCAACTTGTGGGCAAATTCCCACCTCAGGCATTGTTTCCCTTCATGTGATATTTTAAAACTCTTAATTAGTGCTGATTTTTAAAAATAAAAATTATCACGTACAGGCTTGAGTTTCCGTGTTCTCCTGGATAAAAAAGGGAAGACTTGGCAAAACCGATCTACAATTGGCTGGACCTGAATTTTAAGAGTCCCCCCACCCCCTGCAAAAAAAAAAAAAAAATAAGACATAGGTTTTCTTATTTGCTGGGGTCCCTGCCTGGTTTGCCATGGTTACCCTGATGATGTGTGTAGGCACATGAGTAAACAAATCCTATTATATTTTTAAGTTGTGTTATGTGGTATATGCATGAAATTTGTAATTAACACACTATAATTATTTTTTTCTTTGTCCCTGCCTCCTTTCTATTTTCTACTTTTGCCTCCATTTTCTTTTCCTTTTCCGTTTCTCCTGTTTTGCAGGTTCTGGGACTGCTGGTATGGACGCTTATTGCTGGAACTGAGTACTTCCGGGTGCCTGCGTTTGGCTGGGTCATGTTTGTGGCTGTGTTTTACTGGGTTCTTACCGTCTTCTTCCTCATTGTCTACATAACGATGACCTACACCAGGATTCCTCAGGTGCCCTGGACAACAGTGGTAAGGAAGCCACAGGCATGCCAGGCACGGTGGCTCACGCCTGTAATCCCAGCCCTTGGGAGGCCGAGGAGGGTGAATTGCCTGAGCTCATGAGTTTGAGACCAACCTGAGCAAGAGTGAGATCCCATCTATAAATAATAGCTGGGGCGGCACCTGTGGCTCAAGGAGTAAGGTGCCAGCCCCATATACTGGAGGTGGTGGGTTCAAACCTAGCCCTGGCCAAAAAGCTGCAAAATAAATAAATAAATAAATAAATACTAGCTGGGTGCTGTGG